CCCTAACTCACTGAGCTACCAATCCAGCTAACAGTTCTATATGCCATCAAGTCAGTTGTGACGCATAGCAATCCTTTCATGGTTTTTAGGTAGAGAATCCACAGAAGTGGTTATTCGATCCCTTCTTCTGGAGGTGCCCTGGGACTGTGCAGCTCGGTCAAGGAAGGATGGAAGGAAGGAAGGAAGGAAGGAAGGAAGGAAGGAAGGAAGGAATACTTACACTAAAAAATGCCAGTCAGACTTAAATATTTTTTGTGATTTCCTCCCCCACTTTTAATAGCAATTCTGCAGGGAATTGATTATACCACAAGCCATGCAAAACCCCCAAACTCTGCATGGAACAGTATAAAAAAGTCAGTGTCCCTCGCTCCCCAAATCTTCCAGCACTCCTCTGTCTGCAGCCACCTCATCATTAACATTTATATTCTGCACGAACGCTGCTGGCGAGAGGTGAAAGGCAGCCAGGGCGAAAAGAAATTAGTTTCATTATGCAGTAATTACAGGAAAAATTGTGATTGCTGGCTTCAGTCTGCCCTCTCAAGTTATTCCAGCGCTGCTGGTTAAAAAGATCTTGATCTATACCATCCAGCTAATGATGAACAGATTGAGAAAAGACATTTCCTAGGAGCGTGGTCTTTGCTTTATGAAGGCCCCCCCCCTTTCCTGGTGCTGGAGTTGCAAGCGGTTGAGGACTCATCGCGAGTTAGTAGTCCTCCTGCGTTGCTCAGGATCTTGTGCTAAATAGCAGCCGTGTATCTTTTCCTGAAGAGTGCAAAGTTGTGTCAGCCTCTGAAAGAAAGCAAAGAAAAGCAAAACCATACTTTAAGGATGCCGACAAACTGGATCATGTTCAGAGGAGAGCAACAAGGAGGATCAGGGGGCTGGAAATCAAGCCTCAAGAGGAAAGACGGAAAGAACTGGGCAGGCTTAGCCTTGAGAAAAGAAGACAGAGGGGAGAGAGGAGAGCACTTTGCAAATACCTGAAAAGTACAGTAGTCATCCAGAGGAGGAGCAGAATCTGTTCTCGATCATCCCAAAGTGCAGGACACACAATCATGGGCTCAAGCTACAGGAACCCAGATTTAGGCTGAATATCAGGAAAAACATCCTAACTGTTAGATCAGTACGACAATGGAACCCTATGACCTCGGGAGGTGGTGAGCGTTCCCAACGCTGGAGGCCTTCAAGGGAAAATTAGGCCACTCTCTGCCCGATCTGCTTGGATTCGGATTCCTGCCTTGAGCAGGCGGTGGGACTCGGTGGCCTTACGGTCCCTTCTCCAACTTCGTTATACTGTGGCTCTTTGATTCTGTGAAACAAAACATGACTTGTAGTAACCTGGGAAATAAAGATGTTGTCACTGCAACAAGAAGATACTTCTGGAAAACCAAATACGGGGATAAAAGGGTTGTTACAAAGTAGCAGAAGAACATACGAGAAAGTGAACGTTTGTCAGGGAGAAATAACAAAACGGCAAAATAAAACATTCACTTGATTGAGCCCATAACAGTATTAACTCTTGTGTTTATGTGCTGTCCATTGGGGGGGGGCGACCCGAACAGGGTTTTTGAGGTGTGTAACATGTTCAAGGAGCGGCTTCTCATTGCCATCCTCTAGGAAGTCTGCTGGGCTGATAGAGGATTTGATTCCAGACCTCCGAGAACTAGCTCAATAAAACGGCTGAACCTGTAAATGTCTAACTTTTGCAAATTGATCCATCGGCTGAGATTCATGGCTCTGATGTTCTGTTCTAAAGCTGCACTGGAAATATAACAGACCCTCTGACAAAGCACTGTTAGCCATAATAACATTCCTACGCTGAACGTTCTCATGGTCAAAGCCATCAAGCAAGAAAAAGTCATGCTCCCTGTATTTGTATTCGGTTTATGGCACATGATTTTAGCTGGTCAAGATAAGCATTCAACAATCATAGCTACTCTTTTCCCTTTTGTTTACAGGAAGGACATTTACTATAAATGTGTGCCTTTACTGCCATTTTCACAGAAGGACCTCTGTATCCGTGTGGGATTGGTTCTAAGCTAAGATCTTTATTTCTACTGGGTAGAAAGCACCCCATTTTATAACACACTTGCGGCTGCCCACTCCACCAGCCTCCCTGTGCTATTTCATGTTCCAAGCACCACAAATTCGAGATGTAGAAACCAACTTTTTCGGCAAAAGCTGTTCTTACCAAACAGCATCCCGCCCCCTCAACCAACATCTTCCTGTTCTTTTGCTTTCCTAAGGGCCCAATTCTGCAGGGAGAAGGGATCCTGTAGCGGGACATCAAGGCACTTAGGACCTGGAAGGATTCACTCCATTACTCAGACATTAGAAAATCCCAAGACAACATCATCCTCTCTTCTTTGGTTTCCTGGCCCCATAAGGAAACATCCCTTTTCGAGCTCGGCAGCTGGGGACAACTACTTCTGAAGTTTTCCTTCCTAAACTAGTTTGTTTCCTCCTCTTCCTCAAAAGTGCGTCGGAGGTTCTCCGGGGCTGGGAGAACCGGGCACCCCAGCAGCCCCGGGAGCAATCGGTAGAAGCTGGGACAGGAGGCGGGAAGGGAGACGGCTTATTGTCCCCTCTTCAGGTGGAAGGGTTTGTAACAACTTTTACCACCTTCAGTTAATTACAGGGTAGCAGCAGCAGCAGGTTAATTATTCTAATAACGTGGGCTACGGAAGGAAAACACATTCCCTTGTGCCTTTTCCATCGTTTTCTTCTGCTCCAAAACACTGAAGAAATTAATGTTAAAAAGAAATGTAATAGGAAGGAAGGAAGGAAGGAAGGAAGGAAGGAAGGAAGACTTCTGCCAGCCTGCTTAGGATTTTTTTTAATCATGTAAAGGGGGGGGCAGGCAGAAGAAGCCCTGGCAGGAAGGGGTTGGTTGGTTGGTTGGTTTAAAAACAATAAGTACAGTACTAACATACGCATATGCATTAATACAAAAATTTCCCTCCTGTGCCACCATCACCTTCAGGACCAGAAAAGAAAACATTTCCTTTTAATCTCTTTTCACCCCATTCTTCTGCTGGCTTTTGAGCTTTCCCTTTTACAAAAACATAATTCAAATATGGATTCCATATATCTATAAAATCATTATATTTTGTCATGCCCCTTCTTACTTTTATTTCACATGTTAACTTATCATTTATCGCTAAACTCCACATTTCTTTATACCAATCTTCAAGGCCGACTTGTCGTTTTTCCAATTTTTTGCAAATATTAATCTTGCTGCTGTGACCATTATAACAATTATCTCTTCTTTTTAATATGGTCGTTCTTAATTATATTTAAGAGTGCAATAGTTTGTGATATATGAATAGTATTTCCAATATTTTCTCTAATTTCTTTAATGATTGGCTGGTTTAAGGGAGTTGTCTGAAAGGTGGACCAAGGGAGAGTGTGGGGCGAATGAATTTTGTTATTTCTGGAGCAGGTAAGAATCACACACACACACACACCACTCACAGGAGTGCCCAGATCTGTGCCGCAGGCCAGTTGAGGAAGGGCTCCCCCCCCCGGCTGGACATTTTAGCTTCCGTGCGGGCCACCTGCCTGCCCCATTCGGCATCCCTGTTTGCCCCATTCCTCACAGGAAGGATGTGGTGCAATCCCTGCCGGCGGAGGACACCCAGCCGTGACTCAGAAAGCAAACTCTCCAGCCACAGTTTAGCAACTGGACTGCTTTGCGGTCCTCCACACACACACACGCACACATGCACACACAGCTTTGCGGCCCTCCACACACACGCACACGTGCACACACAGAGAGCAAAACGGAAGATGCCTTGTTAGTTCAATGATATCCTTAATGGGACCCACCAAGGTTGATGTCGTAGTAAAACGGAGCGCCACAGAAACCGAGGGAGTCACCCGAAAGGTGACCAGCCACCTCAGGAATGCCTGTCTCAAAACAGCTCAGTCCCAGGTGACTGGCCCTCCACACACACGCACACGTGCACACACAGAGAGCAAAACGGAAGATGCCTTGTTAGTTCAATGATATCCTTAATGGGACCCACCAAGGTTGATGTCGTAGTAAAACGGAGCGCCACAGAAACCGAGGGAGTCACCCGAAAGGTGACCAGCCACCTCAGGAATGCCTGTCTCAAAACAGCTCAGTCCCAGGTGACTGGAAATGTTTGTCTTCCTGATAAGGGCCAGCTTGGACTGAGAGGCTGAAAACATTTACCTTGCCCATAAGG